ACTACAGAGGCTGAGTACATAGCTGCCGCCGAGGCAGCAAAAGAAGCTGTTTGGATCAAGAAGTTCATTACTGAACTTGGAGTGGTTCCTAGTATTAATGACCCTATCTCGTTGTTTTGCGACAACACTGGGGCCATTGCACAGGCAAAGGAACCGCGATCTCACCAGAAAACCAAACACATTGTACGACGCTATCACATCATACGAGAAATCGTAGATAGAGGAGATGTGATGATTTGCAAAGTAGATACTGACGAAAAGATAGCCGATCCCTTGACCAAGCCTTTAGGAAAGCTAAAGCATGAGGGTCACACTAGGTCCATGGGCATTCGACCGATGCCAGATTGGCCATAGTGCAAGTGGGAGATTGTTGGAGTTGTGCCCTGATGGCCAACTATTTATCATTATTCTATCATCTATAGGCAGATATAATATGTTTACACATCTCATGTTAATGTAAACAAATATTATATTCCTAAATTTATATGTAAAGATGTTTATCAGATAGTGTTTTTCTGCTGATGAGACTAACATCTTGAAATAAATATTTATCTAAATGTCCATAGTCGAGTATTAACGAGAGTGAGAGAAAATTATTTTAAGTCTTCCATTAATATCATTTTGTGTATAGAAAATATCTATAATATTTTCTAAATATTATTAGAAATATTTTCTATAAGAAATATACAAGATTATTATTATCCCAATTTTAATCTTTATATTTTATACTACTATAATCTTTACTAGCATAAAGATTGTGGTAGACTCCAGCGTTGTTCGTGTGTCAAAGTTGGAGACCGGACGCTTGAACGGTTACGTTTGCACTTTCAACGCTCTTCCTACGACTTCTTCGTTTTTACCGCTTACGAAGAAAGGTACAAATTTCTTACTACTATAAGTTTTAGTACGTGATTCTGGGCAAGATAATCATGTTAGGATGTTAAAAGTTTTATATTCCGATGCCTATACTTGCATGGTTACCTTTTCAAGCCTTCCCTCCTGCGGGTTCTCCAGTCGCGTCCTCCACCACAACCTTGCAATTTTGGGTCAAGGCCGCCAACACCTCCTTGAACTGCTCTGCGGTGATCCCGATCCTCTGAATGAGGGCCTCCGCCTCCGTCATGCTGATAGGAGGGTTCCGGTCTTCAGTGGCACTGTTCTCATCCTGGAGAGGGACTCCGGTTCCTAAATTCACGTTGCTACGGGTCTGCACCATCGTCTTCTTGGAAGGTTTTTCCTGAGTATTTTCCTCGAGTTCTCAATGAGAGCAGCAATTTGATGGACAAGAAATCCACTGGATGATCTATTTCAGAAGAATGGATCACAAGGAATAAAATAAGAACGAGAACTCGAGAATCCTATGTGTGTATTATCAGCTTGATTCAACTTGAAGATTCCCCTTTCGGGTCGCCTCTATTTATACATGGATTTTGGATAATTAAGGTAATTCGTAATTAGAGGGAGTCTATACTGCCGATAGCGCGATCCTCTTTTTCCGGCCTCGTCTCCATCCTTCAGCTGAGTCTCCTCCGGAAAATTGGCTCTGCCAGCTGTCTCTCGAGTTAGATTGGTTCGGGCCTCGTGTCGTGGGCCGGCCCAGATTCAAGCTCTCACCATACGCTTGACCTGGCGTCTGTTGGATTATTAGTTTGGGCCGTCCGCTGGATATCGGCCCATCACCCTTGATGTGATGGGTAAATGTAAGAAGTAATGTGTAGATTATTAGTAAAAAGGTATGATGTGATAGGTAGGGTATGAAAAAGTAAGGGATAAAAGTGGTTTTTTAATATAAATGAGAAAGACTTTGAGAGACACGATTTTTTGAAACGTGAAGAACTTTATGGGACGGAGGGAGTATTATATTAAAAAATATTGGGCCCCATAAATCTTGGTCTTGGTTCAGTCAGGCAGCCTGTCCCCCCCCCCATGGGCTGGCCTTGGCTGCATGTTCCACCACCCCTGATGGCAGGGTTTAAGGTGTAGAGCCCGACCCCTAGGTCAACTTAGTAAAATTTTATTTTACAAACTCTTTTAGAATTTTGTAAAAATATGTGTGAGTGTTAGGGTTAAGCAGTCCTGATAGACACAATTTTCCTGTGTAGCTGCATAAAATTTGAATGCATGAACTCATAATATTTAGAATGTATCATGATAAGACATGTTTCACACAAGAGATGCATCGATTCAAATTTGATCTATTAATATATAGGTCCATTGATATGTTTTAAAAAAGAGAATCATCCGCACCCATTCTTGCAGTTTACATTTTATCTGATTGAAGCAATCTGCTTGCAGTATAATATGTGATTTGTGCATTTCATTTTAAATCATCGAGCTTCACATTCGTATATCGTTATTTCTAATGTTGCAGCACAACGTTACCTACATAGTACTAAAACATACACCCTCCGTCCCAGAGTATTTGTCTACTTTTGACTTTTTTCGGTCAAAATTTGCAAACATTGACCCTAAATTAAATAAAAATGATATTAGATATCGATACAAAAATAACTTTATTAGATTTATTATATAAAATATTTTCAAAATATTATTTCATAGAATGAATGAATTTAGAACTAGGGAGAAATTCTCTTGTATTTCTTATGATTTACAAATATACAAAGATGTCATATACAACAATAGGAAACAAATCACTATACAAGGAAACTACCAAAAAAATATAAGAAAATATATGGGAATTTATTCAAATATTCCCTTTCCTTCTTTAGCACCCCCCTGAAGTTGGAGCATGCAACAAAGAAATTGCCCAACTTGGGAATAAGAAATGAATATCTGCAAGGTGATGGGTAGTAGGCACATGAAGTGTACGAATCTCTCCACGTAGAAGCTCATAACGAATGAAGTGACAATCAATCTCAATATGCTTCATACGTTCGTGAAAAAATGGATTAACAGCGATGTAAAGTGCTGCCAACTAATCGCCCTACCAAACAGTGATATGGTTTTGGATCCGCCAGAACAAGAGCTTGGGAACTAGCCAAATGATGGTTCGACTCCATGGGTGCACCCAACGGCCTGGCACATAACAATCCTGTCTCAGTAATAATATCCAAAGTGTACTTCCGTTGGCAGAGAGAAATCCCAAACGTGCTCCTCGCCACCTCAATGTCAAGGAAAAATTTTAGTGTTCCCAAGTCCTTCAATTCATATGAAAACAATCTGCCAAATATGATTTGAACTTTCTCACCATCTCTGTATTATCTCTAGCAATAACCAAATCATCAACATAACCAAAACATGTATTACTCCTTTCTTCCAAACAGAAAAATAAGGAGTAAGCAGGAAAGGACTGGACAAATCCATAACGTTTCAAAGCTCCAGACAACTTTGCAAACCAACACTATTAAGTCGTCAAATCTCATATTTTATTCGCCCATATTAGGCATTTTTAGTATATTCCAAATGCATTTTATACAAATTTAATCACTATTATGTTTACACAGCAATTTAGGCCAATATTTATATTTTGATCATAAATTGCATTCTTTTGAGTATTCTTTTACTTCACTATTTTTATTATCTCATTTACCTTGACGTAGGTCTTAAAAGTCGTTTTGCGAAGCATAAAAAGCTCAGTGAAGATGTCAAGTTTGGATCCCGAGCTGTCAAGAATTGGACAAAGAAAAGTTAATGGGCCAAGCCACTAGGGACTTGACCCAATCGGCTATATGCAGCCCAGTCCAGCAGCTACCCAAACCAGCAGAGAATTCAACGGAGTATGTGTAGTGGAAAGGGGATTCCAACTGGGAGACAACAAGAGCAGCGTACGAGGCTGAAATTCTGGAAATTTGGAGTCATAATCCTAGACGAAGGTCTGATTTCCAGCCCTATAAATGCGGCAGATAGCAGCGGCGAAGGAGGGGGCTTCTGGAACGGAAAAAGAACAGCAACAGACCAACGGACGCAAGGCAGCTCTCGACCAGAGTTCTTCTTCCAGCGCCAATTCTGGGTTCTACCTCTCAATTATGATTTCTTGTTCTAGAATTATGATTGGCTAGACTCTTAATTTCCAATTTCAAGTTAATACTCTATGATTTGATTTGTGAGATTTCATGCTAAATGTTTTATATGTTATGATATTCTATGTTTTTTATGAGATACTTTTTATTGAATTCAACAGTTTAATTAATTTGGATGCATACTTTTTAATTAATCTTGTGAGTTTATTGCTAATTGAATTCTTGGTTGTTTGATTGAGATTTCATTCTAGTAGCAATCATGTTTTTAAGGGAAAATATAGATGCAAATTGAATGTTTTTCCGTTTGGAAGAATGTTGTTTGGGTTGGCTAAGAATCCTAATTCTCTTGAATAGGGTTGGGTCGTCTTTCATGCAAATTGAATGAACCTTGAATCCTAGGCGTTTGTTATAGGGTTGGGTCGTCTTTTAGACTCTCAATTAGGCTTAAATTGGTTGTGTTTGTCACTTTTAAGTATTTTAGGTGAATTAGGGATTATTGTGCGTTTGCAAATAATCTACGCCAACTATCTTGATAAATAAATATCTTTTGTGTCAATGATCAAATCGAATTCATGAGTTAATACTTGGGATTGGAAATTTTCTAATCAAATTCTTTTAAATTTCTATTAGTTGCTCGGTTTACTTTTAGAATTTATTCTCTAGTTTTTTTACAAAATTTTATTTAGTTTTAAATCAACTTCAAGAAAAAAAATCTACGAATTAGTAGTTAACTCTTGCCTCTCTGTGGGATCGACCTGAACTTACCATATCTACGGGTTAGTTTAGTTTTATTATTTGGTGTTAAAACGACATTCATCAAATTTTTGGCGCCGTTGCCGGGGAGAGCAAAGTAGATTAGCTACTTTTTCTCTTAGTTATTTTTATTTTTTAGTTTAGAAGTTTTCATCTTGTAGTTTTTTTTTTAAATTTTCTTTAATTTTATTATTCTCTCTAATAGTTTTTTTTTCTTCCGGGTGCATGACCAGAAGAACTGAAGGTTTATCTTCTAAAGCATCATTTGATCCTGAAATTGAATCTACTTGCAGGAGACGGAACGCACAAAAGAATAAAGCAAAGCGACCAGAGATTGTAGACATGGAGAATCAGAATAACGAAAATAATGGAAATCATGGGGATGGTGAAAACATTGTGAACAATCAGAACCTCACCATCAGGAATTTGGCCACACCAAACCTTGATCATCAACCACTCTGCATTCAATATCCGACGTTGAATGCACCCCTAGAGCTCAGGTCAGGTTTGATTCAACTTTTGCCAAAGTTTCATGGATTGTCAGGAGAAGATCCACATAAGCATCTAAAGGAGTTTCATGTTGTCTGTTCCACCATGAGACCTACTGGAGTACCTGAAGATCATATCAAGTTAAGGGCGTTTCCATTCTCTCTTGATGGTGCAACGAAAGATTGGTTGTATTACTTACCAAGCGGTTGCATAACCTCTTGGAATGATATGACCAGATTGTTCTTGGAAAATTATTTTCCAGCAACCAGGACTGCTGTTTTGGGCAAGGAGATATGCGGTATCAAGCAGATGGGTGGAGAGACTTTGTATGAATATCGAGAAAGATTCAAGAAACTATGTCAAGTTTGTCCACATCATCAGTACACTGAAGTGCAGCTGATTCAATATTTCTATGAAGGTTCTACTGGAGTAACAGTAGTGAAGAATCACGATGATGAGCTCATTGCCCAAAGAGTTCAAAATGCGTGGAGAGTTTGTATAGACTATAGAAAACTGAATGAAGTAACGAGGAAAGATCATTTCCCACTACCCTTTATGGATCAGATGCTTGAGAGGTTAGCTGGACATGAATATTATTGCTTTTTGGATGGTTATAGTGGATAATTCAAGTTGTGATAGTGTAACGCCCCAAAAATATCCCTATCAAAGTTAATTAATTTATAATTAATTAATTACTGAGAAGGACCCAAAAATAAGTAAATTCTAAAGTTTGTCAATAAATAATGAAAATTATATCAATGTGTAGAGTTTGACTGTCTGACCCCAATGGTTCAATCGGATTTCAATTTGGAGAAAGTTGGACCAAAAAGTATACCCCGACTGGGACCAAATATTAGTCCCAATCAGGGACTACGTACCAAACGGCGCCCTGTTCAATTACGCCGATTCCAAAATCCAAATCACCGAGCACTCAAGGAAGCTACAAACTCCCTGTCTTCTTCCTTCCTCACTTGGCTATTTAAGGACAACCCAACTCCCTCATTTCATCACCAAAACAACTCATTCTTCCTTCTATATTGTTCCTTGCTGAGAGTGGAGTGCAGTGGTGCTGTCATCTTTGTGTGAGGTCGCCGGAGCAGTGATATAGAGTCGTGGGAAGTTTCGCCGGAAAATTTTCAAAACCTCCCTTACGCTTCAAGGTAATCCCGTAGATATATCTAATGACTAGAATGTTCATATAGGTCGTTTCTGCGTTCATAAATGGTCATTTGGTTGAGTTTTGTGTTTGACATGTTTGAAGAACCAAGAATCATAAACCTTGAATTTGATGTTAAAAATATGTTTTAATAATTCTAATATGATCTATGAACCTTGGAGAACATCTCTATATAGTTTAATTGAAGTTCGGTGACTAAAAATGGTTTTCCCGAAATATGGACCGAGGTTGAAGACGAATAAACAGTTGCTGAAAATGCACAGAGTGGATCGATCCCCTTCATTGGATCGATCCTCTGGGAGTTTTTCTTCTAGTTGGATCGATCCAGAGGGCTGGATCGATCTTCCGAAACTCTGGTCCGAAATTTTGTCTGAAATTGCTATTTTTGAGCTCTAAAATCCTATTTTTGATATCAATTGATTATGATTATTATAAAAATGATTTTTCACAACAAAAATGATGTTTTTAACAAATTAAAACATTACGTGATGCATGACGGTAAGTTCGGGTGTTAACACTCGAGACTAGGCCGCTAATTGTTATTAAATGTTATGTTGAATGATCATTATGATGAACTATTATTGTGGCCAATTATGAATGATTAACCTACTGATTGGTGTGATTATTGATTAAATCATGATTAAAAATGGATATAATGATGATTATGAAAATGATGTATATTGTTAAGGATATCTAGAAGAACTCTAAGATATACCCACTTGTATGATGATGATTATTAAGGATATCTAGAAGAAATCTAAGATATACCTCCTTGACCATTATTGTGGCCAATTATGAATGATTAACCTACTGATTAGTTCATCATAATGATCATTCAACATAACATTTAATAACAATTAGCGGCCTAGTCTCGAGTGTTAACACCCGAACTTACCGTCATGCATCGCATAATGTTTTAATTTGTTAAAAACATCATTTTTGTTGTGAAAAATCATTTTTATAATAATCATAATCAATTGGTATCAAAAATAGGATTTTAGAGCTCAAAAATAGCAATTTTAGACAAATTTTTGGACCAGAGTTTCGGAAGATCGATCTAGCCCTCTGGATCGATCCAACTAGAAGAAAAACTCCCAGAGGATCGATCCAATGAAGGGGATCGATCCACTCTGTGCATTTTCAGCCACTGTTCATTCGTCTTCAACTTCGGTCCATTTTTCGAGAAAACCATTTTTAGTCACCGAACTTCAATTAAACTATATAGAGATGTTCTCCAAGGTTCATAGATCATATTAGAATTATTAAAACATATTTTTAACATCAAATTCAAGGTTTATGATTCTTGGTTTGTTCAAACATGTCAAACACAAAACTCAACCAAATGACCATTTATGAACGCAGAAACGACCTATATGAACATTCTAGTCATTAGATATATCTACGGGCTTACCTTGAAGCGTAAGGGAGGTTTTGAAAATTTTCCGGCGAAACTTCCGGCGACTCCATCTCACTGCTCCGGCGACCTCACACAAAGATGACAGCACCACTGCACTCCACTCTCAGCAAGGAACAATATAGAAGGAAGAATGAGTTGTTTTGGTGATGAAATGAGGGAGTTGGGTTGTCCTTAAATAGCCAAGTGAGGAAGGAAGAAGACAGGGAGTTTGTAGCTTCCTTGATTGCTCGGTGATTCGGATTTTGGAATCGGCGTAATTGAACAGGGCGCCGTTTGGTACGTAGTCCCTGATTGGGACTAATATTTGGTCCCAGTCGGGGTATACTTTTTGGTCCAACTTTCTCCAAATTGAAATCCGATTGAACCGTTGGGGTCAGACAGTCAAACTCTACACATTGATATAATTTTCATTATTTATTGACAAACTTTAGAATTTACTTATTTTTGGGTCCTTCTCAGTAATTAATTAATTATAAATTAATTAACTCTGATAGGCCTATTTTTGGGGCGTTACATTTCTCTCCCCCTTAAAATAATTTCGTCCTCGAAATTACCTGAGTCATTGGTTGAAGAGATTCGGATATTGCATCCTCATTGACTCTTCGGTTTCCCATGTTGCCTCTTCAGTCGAGTGATTCCTCCATA